AAATATACATCTAATGATAATTTGTTATATTTTATTATAATTAATGATGAGTTTATACAGACCTGTTATGAGTGTTTTGATTATAATTTTCATTTCTGAACACTGTTTCCATTATTTCTCTTTAATTTATGTAAAACTTGTTATTAAAAGTGTTTGCATTTACAGCCGGCGAGGACGACACCAATCGTTCAAAAGTCAGCGGAGAGGCGGACGCCACTGAATACTCCGCCGACGGGCGCACAGGTATGTCATGTGATTTGGTTTTGAATGACTCGTAGTTAACGTATTGTTGAACTGACAGATCGATAGCACGAAGAACAGTCCCGGAGGAGAAGGAGTTTTGCAGACGTTTTTCAATAGTCTATTAAGTCGTAAATCTGGTGGTTCTCCAGGTATGGGATCTCCGCGAACGCCAAACACGATGGCCGACAACCTGACGGCCGCCAACGTTCACGCGGAGTTGGACCGTATGATCGGCAGTAATAGGATTGCCAGCAATAGCTCGACGCCAACGCATAACCTAAACGTCTCCACGTCTTCAGAGCAATGATTTTTCATGAAATGTTAGGTTTTGATAATTATATAAATATATATATATTTGTAAATAAAAGTAATTTAAGACTAACTTATAAATCATGCAAAACAAGACTGCATTGAATCGCAATTCATGTTTTGTTGAAGACTTGTATTAATAGGAAAAATGAAATTATTTTCGTTATGAATAATTGTTGCAACTATTTCTCAAGTGTATAATTCTTATTTGATTTTAATTTATTTAAATGTTTTTAATAGCCCTTTCTATTCTAATCTATTGTTTTTTTTATTACTTAGACTACAAATGAAATCAAAAACTATAGCAAAAATTTTTGTTCACAACACTTAATTTTTAAACGCTTGGCTTACAGCTATTTATTGATAAAATTAAATATGGTTTTTATAGATATTTTTAATATAGCCATTGATTAAAATTGTCAAAAGAAATGCTTTTAAATGATTGTGTCACTCATTCCATGGTAATACCATTCACATGACCACAACTGGATATATAGTATCATTCATTGGATTCATAGCTTTTCTGAAATTTGTATGTTAATGAATATTTGTCCAAGTTTATAGGTAACTAAAATTCTGCTAATGGTTTGTTTGTCAAATTGCTACTGCCATAGAATTGATAAACATTGATTTTTTGAATCGATTAAAAGTACAGTAAAATGAACCCGTAGTTTGTACTTAATATCAGAATATTTACAAATATTTCAGACATTATATTCCAAACAAGTTTTTGAGACAAACTGAGAGAGACTGACGATATCGTGAGCGATAGACAGATTGTTTAGTAATGATAAACAATATTCCGTATAAACAGCAAGGAAATTTTGCTTTGTTTTGTACTTTAAGGAAGTTTTGACAGCATTTTGGAACCGATGAGTGAATTAATTGAATACATTTGCAACAAATATATGTTTCAATTAATTTCTGTATTCGCTATTTAAATGTCAACTCATTTGAACATAAAATAGTGTTTTTAATTAGTTTGGAGTTTTGTTTTGACGTTTAAAACACTTGTCTATGACTTGAATATATAAGCAATATACTAGTTGATAAATAATTATCTGTGAATTAATTTATCGGAAATAATGGCGTTTTTGAATCAAATAAAGAGTCCATTAATGCATAAAGTGTTTGGACACGCATTGACC